ATTTTTAACATGTATTTATGTATTTAAATAGTGAAATAAAGACAGTCGTGCAGAATCGATGTTAAACGAAAAGACGACTGCGCTGAATCGCTATATCGAAAAGGGTTGCGGAACGGTATCGAAGTGGATGGTCGAATAAAGTCCGCAGCGATGTCGATCGATGTTTGTAAACGAATGGGTTGACAGATTAAAAAATGTTTGTAGCGCGTTTGATCGTATATATCGCAGTGTAGAATCGATTTGAATTGGGCTGTCGAATTGTATATAGTGAATGCCGTGTGACCGATGATTCTGTCCTTTTTATACTCTCCCAACCTGTTGCTACAGAGTATAATAGTTTTGTTCAAGTAACGGTTGTTTGTATCACCTAAAACTAATCGAGTTAGATATAGGGTTATGTATATATAAATGATCAGGATGAAGAGACGAGTTGAAATCCGGGTCCGTCCGTCCGTCCGTGCAAGCTGTAACTTGAGTAAAAATTTAGATATCTTTATGAAACTTCGTACACATGTTTCTTGGTACCGTAAGACGGTTGGTATTGCAGATGGGCGTAATCGGACCACTGCCACGCCCACAAAACGCCATTAATCAAAAACAATGAATTGCCATAACAAAGCTGCACAATAAGATACAAGACTGTTATTTGATATACAGAATCACTTTAGGGCGTGGCACCGCCCACTCAGAGGTTGAGAGAGGTGGCGTCGTCATGTGGGGTGCAAATCCTTCAGTGTCCTCAGATGATGTTTTTATTTATTTTTAAAATTTTTTATTTAAATTGGTGGTGTTATAAAATTATTAGGAATGTATTAAATTTATATAATATGTTTGTGATCTGTGCAGTTTTAGTGATTAATCGCGGTTTTTTACCGCCCTTTGTAATAAAGTGTTTTAGCATATGTAACCCAATTTTCTGTGTAATACAAGTTGGGTGGATTCGACTGTCTGAGCCATAGTTTTTGGTTTGTTTGTTAATATGATCTATCGTGTATGATAAGTTGAAAAATTAGCTGTATATTTTTGCAACGTTGTGATTTTTTTATTTTTTTAGATATTTTTTTAATTTGGCATAGTCAACCAGTGCCAACAAACAATATTTTAGCGGTTGAAAGTCATGTTTTTTCTAATGTTGTTGATCTCTCAAAATTTAAATAAGAACAAGAGAGAATCAGTGGCAAGCGAGTTACAGGATCATGGGATTGGTTGAAGAGCGAAATAAGGAATAGTTAGATGGAGATCTAATTTTTCCTGTAGCCGTATTTGATCAACGTAAAAGTAAATCTTTTTCAGCATGCGCACGAAGAGTTAATGGTAGCAACGAGCGTAAGTATTTAAAAGGCTGATAAAAGGAATGCTTCGCAAATTGTTTCAATGTTGAGCTCAGAATCCGCACTAGTTTCGAAAATGATTAAAAGTTAAGATGATGACATAAAAACCGCTATTTCTTACACACCTGAGGAAGCTTTGGCTCGGTTTTTAGATGGAGGCTACACAAAAAGCTCTTATAAATTGTTGCAATATGGTGCAAAAGAACGAAACTGCAATATTTATACGAGCTACGATGTTTTGGTTAAAAGTAAAAGGGAGTGTTATCTCAGTGGCATACGTGTAACTGAATGTTCGGCTGATGTGAATTTGCAATGTCTTGGTGACCACACTAAAGGGCTTTTCACCAGAATTTGGGAAATTGGGGAGTAGAACATGAATCACATTTGACAATGATCGGCGGAAAAGTATTTAATGCCATCGCGGAATCATCATAACTGGCTTGCTGAATTTGTGCGCCGATTTCAAGATTAATGAATAATTTTAATTTGGTTCGGTTGTGGCAACAAGAAGTTTTAGTCATATCGCCTACATATTACCAATAAAAAACTGGCAAGTTCGTGGAGAAAGTAAAGTAATTGTATCTTGGTGGACATTCCAATGACGGGTTCAAGGAACCAAAACAGTGATAATACTGTTAGAAAAACGAAAATCTTTATATGTAGTATATTGGAGTAATTCGCATATACTTGTATGGTATAAAGCCAACCGGAAGTTTGAAAATTGTATATCAGGTATACGGAATGGTATATGGTATTTCTGACAATACGACATACTACTATTAGCATGCCTCATACTAACGATTCCTCATATGTACTAATAATATGCTCCCTGACTTTCATTATGGTACACTTACCATCACCAATATATATGGAGTAAAGTCAGCTGGGTGTTTGAAAATCGTGATATAAATTATATCAGATACAAAAATACAATGTTATTAGCAAAACGTGCTCTCTTGTTTTCACTAAGATAACTCACATATTGGCCAAAAATGCGGTATAAAGTAAACCGGAAGATCGAAAATCTATTAGGTATATGGCGTATATATCTATAATGTTCGCTGTAGGAACTTGGGTCCACATATTCGGTATTAGGGGGTGGGCCACGCTCATTTTTAAAAAAAAATTTAGCCCCAAGGTGCCCCTTTGCTACTGCGATCTTCTGTGCCAAATGACAGTTTTGCATATGAATTAAGTGTTTATGCCCATCTACGAACTCGTCCTCTCTTATTTGCCAAGGAACTCGTGTACTAAGTTTCATTACGATATCTCACTCTTAACTCAAGTTACAGCTTACACGGACGGACAGACAGACACACGGAATTCAACTCATCTCGTCATCCTGCTCATTTATATTGTATATACATATACCTATAATATAACTGCATATCTATCTTGATTAGTTTTAGGTAATACAAACAAATGAGCGAAACCATTGTACTCTGAAGCAACATGTTGCAAAATTATAAAAAGGAAACTCTACTTCGTTATATACTCGCAGAACGCCCAAACGGTAAGACGAGAAAATTTGCACAGTTATTCGTTTATTGCTGTAGAAGGTTATATCGGGGGCATTTTTTGCAAAATCACCGTCGATTTTTATTATTGTTGGCAATGAGTTTGATAAAAGGGATATTGTTCTTCTCACACAAAGTAACGCGCTACAGCGTATATCCGAAACCCATCGATGACGTTCAGCAATACCCGTTGCTTTTTTAGAAAGGCGAAGATGGATACAATTTTAACATGTATCAAATTGACTCTGTGACACATGCACCCACTAACAAGAAAGTTACAGCAATAAGCGTAGATATCGCACAATGATAAGAGAAGGGCGTCATAACCTTCTACGTTGTTGACGACTGTTTCAACAGTTTTTGTGTGCGAAAATTGAAAGTAAGCGTCTTTGCTAAATGGAATCATATTAACAACCTGTTTTCCGTTGGGTCCTAAGGTTTTGTGGAAAAAGACTCTCGACTCTTTCAGCTCAGACATAATTTAAAAGAAGTAAGGAAGTGCTAAGTTCGGGTGTAACCGAACATTTCATAATCGTGCAACTTGCAAGGATCAAAGCCGGGGATATACCTTCGGTTGTTGCCAAAACTTTATATTACAAAATATAGCGAAAGGATTCAACTTCATTGTTCGACGAAATGGTGAATGAATTACAATGGAATTTGGTATCGTATCAACTTATATTGAAGGTTATAGATTCACTTAGTTTTAATATTATAATATACTTCCCGCCAGCTTAAATTATTCTAAAATCATAGGGGGCATAAAAATAGATGAGCAGATTGCATTAATGTTTGACATTGCTCAGGTATACTTGAGAACTTATTTTCAAGCAATTTTACAACTATTCTAGCTGAACCCGATGTGCCCTACTACACCCCTTTTCATACTCTCAAGATGTTGCTGCACCTAATGGTCGGTTGTATCACCTAAAACTAATCGAGATAGATATGGAGTATAGGGTGCTCCATCTCGAGGTTTCCTACTTTTTTAAAGAAAGAAACACAAAAAATTCAAATTTAATGGGGAATATTTATTATCATTCGAAAGAATATTTTTGTCATAATTTTTTGAAGATTATCTCTTTCAAAAGCTGGCCGCAGCTACGTCTAAAATGGTCCATCCGTTGAGTCCAATTTTCCATGACGGTCTTGGTGGCCAAACGACCGGCGCAATACTTGAAACTATTGGCTCACCAAAGTGTCAATAAATCCGTTGATTGATGTGATGTGTGGGAAGTGGCGCCGTCTTATTGAAACCAAATGTCTCCGAGATCACGAGCTTCAATTTGAGGCATCAAATAATCGTTTATCATGGCACGTTAACGGTCGCTATAGATGGTTACGTTCTCACTGGCATCATTTTTTAAAAAATATGGACCGATGAACTTTTCAAGAGCGGCTTCAGTACTTGCAAAAGCTGTAGTTTGTACGCTTTAAATTTAAGATCTCGACGTAAAATGCGCCAAGTCATTCCATACGTCAGTCCGAGTTGCCGAATCGACTCTCCATGGCCTTCGTATATACTCTTAGCTACGGCCGCTATATTTTCTTCTCTGCGTGCTGGACGTGGTCTATTCAGTCGAATATTATCCAATAATGAATGTTGGGTCTGAAGGTGGGAGATGGTGTTGCGAATAGTACGCTCAGTAGGCCGATTGTGTTGACCATAAGTTCAGCGAATCTTTTTTTACAGAAAGTGAATTTTTGTAATAAAGTTGAACAATTTGTAAACGTTGTTTAGGCGTAATGTATTTTTAAATATAAAATAAATATGTAGAAACAATTTAGGGAAGTGTTAGTGTATAATAAGTGCATAACATAAAGAAAAATTAAATAGAAATCGAGAAATTGCAAGATAAAATTTATCAAATTTTCAACTTAAAATGCAAATATCTCGAAAACTATAAGTTTCCGGCGGTTCCAGTTATTTATATATATTCTTAATCTGGGAAATCTTCTCTAACCAACCATACCCCTTTTAACCTTGAAATCGTGGGAAGGTATACTAAAGACGACCCAAAAACAGCGTCCGAATACTTGGCATGTACGCGTACTTCACAAGGACATATCTATGTATGTTTATGCCGAGAAAAAATATGCAACTATTCGTAGAAAAGTATTCATTGACAATTTTATTCACTGAAACCCTCAAATATTTCAAAAATATTTTTAAAACGAATGCAATGTCTTATTTATCTTGTAAAAAATACAAATTTTCATTTTGAGAAAATAATAAAAACATAAAAATTTTATTTGTAGCTATATAAAAATAAATAAATTGTTAGATAAAATTTGTTGTTAAATCACTATTAATAGAATAATTAAAATTTAAAACTGTTTATTTGTGAAAATGTCTTTGGAAAATTTTGATAATTTAACTGATGTTGAATTACGTCATAAATTGCTAGAATATGACTTCCCGAATGTTCCCATAACAGAAACGAGTCGCGGTTTCCTTGTGAAAAAGCTTAAAAATCATATTAAAAATTTGAAAAATCGAAAGGTGTCAAAACGAACATACTTGACGGTGCGCGCCAAACAAGAGCTGGATAATTTGGTGGTTATTCAAGCCCATGACTGGAATCACCATAGCCTGCATAATAGCGCACTACTCGGCGAGGACGATGCAGCAAATGCTGTTCCGGATCTGTATGATATCGCAAATACCGACACTCAAATGACCGACCAAGTACCATTTCTTTTACCGAATCCTTTAGTAGACCAGAATATAAGGAATAGCATTCAATTGGCAGATTCACAGTTCAATTTAGCTAACAACAGTCCATGCGGATACACCACTATGCTTTGGAGACTTCTAGGCTTGCAAGAAAATTATACCAACAGCGTATGGTGGGCCTTTACATTATTTTTCTTAGCCATAACTTTTATGTATATGGCGAAGATTGCCGATTTCTCAAAGTACATCAATGAAGGTAATACTAACTATGTAATCTGTAATAAAATTAACCCAGCAAACCCGTTTTTGCGACCACCATTCATCTGTATTGAGAAGGAACGTGTGGAACCAGCATTAACAATTGTGCGTCTGCTAATGATGCAACTAAGAAAACCATCAGAACGGTTTTACTGTTACGATACTAAACAAACGAAAGCTATCAGTGTGACAGAATTTATTAGACAAGAGTACAAAGGGGATAGTTCAGTGGATATTCGAAATTTGAGAGCGGCTCAGTATCTCATAACTTGCAATCCCCAGTGGAAGATAGACATGGTTGATAATAAAGGAGCGACAGTTATTTTTAATGGAGTTGACAATATACTAGCAAATCAGAATATATTTTTTGTACTGAAACATCCTCAGATGTCTTTGCCATGTCAGCTATACCAAAAAGCTCACCGATTCATAAATCTCGGCGGAAATCTATCGCTCCTGTTGTGTGTATTAATATTCCTTTGTTTTTCATATTACTATGTCCGTCGCATCCAAAAACAACATCTACAGACTGTGCAAAGTTTCATTGAAAATATTATAGAGGAACTGCAGAATCATGCAGCAAATAGCGAGAGTTCAGAAGGTCGCGAAGTTGATGTGAACCATTTATGTGATCAACTGATGCCCTCCAGAAAACGAAAATTTGAAATGAGATTTTTTAATGAGGCTTTGAAGGTATTGGAGTCTAGTGACAGTCGAGTGCAATTTGACTGGAAGATTCGTAATGGTCAGAAATGTCGCACCATATGTTGGGTTGATTACAGCGACGAACTAATAACAGGGCGTCCTGCTGGATACACAGAGGGTTTATTTAAGGCAGAAACTACATGCTAAAGTTGGGTTTTCCAGAGTTTTTCTTTATAATATTTTGCTATGACTGGATCAAATAAATTATAAATTATATAATCGTTCTGCTAACTGTGCGTTGCTACAAAGTAAATAATGAATTTACCGTCTTTTACTTGTAATTTACTATAAGTCATCCGTTTAGGTCTGCGATCTCATACCATATATGTTACATATTATATTAGGGCAAGTAAAAAGTTCGTTCGGTTTTTATCTAAGAGATGGCGTTATTGTCCATAGTACTAGTGTTACGTGTCGCATCATGTCATATTACACGGCGCTGAAAACGTATTTATTCGCGCTAAAAGTTTGTCTTTGACAGTTTTTCGATTGATTTACTCAGTTCGTTGGGAGCGCTCGTCAAAGATGGACACCAACAAAGTGAAAATTCGCTATATTTTACAATTTTTCTCTGATCAAAGCGAAAAAGCAGCCAAAGCGGCTGAAAACATTAATTTAGTTTATGGCCCTGATACTGTAAGCGAACGTGTAGCACAAAACTGATTTGCTAGGTTCCGTTCCGGTAATTTCGATGTCAAAGATGCACCACGCGTCGGGAGGCCTGTCGTCGAAAATTGCGATAAAATCATGGAAATAGTGGAAACAGACCATCACGTGAGCACTTATTTAATTGCTGAGGAACTAAAGATAAGCCAGAAAACCGTTTGGAACCATTTGCATAACCTTGGATTCAAAAAGGAGTTCGATGTTTGGGTGTCACACGAACTAACGCAAAAAACATGATGGACCGAATTTCCATCTGCAAATCGCTGCAGAATTGCAACAAAATCGTCCCGTTTCTGAAGCGGATTGTGACTGGCGATGAAAAATGGGTCACTTATGACAACATCGAGCGCAAACGGTCGTGGTCAAAGCTCGGGGAGCGGCCCAGATGGTGGCCAAGACCTGATTGACGGCCAGGAAGGTTTTGCTGTGTGTTTGGTGGGATGGGCAAGGAATCATCTACTGCGAGCTGCTCCCCTATGGCCAAACGCTCAATTCGGCCCTCTACTGCCAACAACTGCACCGCTTGAAGGCAGCACTCATCCAGAAGAGGACATCTTTGATCAACAGAGGCCGAATTGTGTTCCGTCAGGACAACGTTAGGCCACACACGTCTTTGGTGACTCGCCAGAAGCTCCTGGAGCTTGGATGGGAGGTCTAATGCACCCACCTTATAGTCCGGACCTGCCACCAAGTGATTAGTGAGAAGTTGGCCTCAAGAGAGGCCTGTGAAAATTGGCTCTCCAAGTTTTTTGGCAATAGGGACGCAGTATTCTACGAGAGGGGTGAAATGAAGTTGGCAACAAATTTACGAACAAAACGGCGCGTATTTGACTTAAATCGGACAAATGTACACAAAGTTATCATCTTTGAAAAATCAATAAAAATGAACGAACTTTTTACTTTACCTAATATATATTATCAGAGTAATATTTGTATATATGTATAATTACGCTTAAGCATCCAAACAAGTAAAAAAAAACACTCATTGACTAGCCTTGAGCAGCTACAGCGAACTCAGGGCCAGTATTGACGTTCTATCATCTGACCGCAGTGATCTGATGAATACTCTCACTGTAACCTTCCCCCTGAGTTTCGGTCCACCCATGAAAAGTTTCACTGCGGTTCTTCTCAACCTGCTTCGCCCTACCACTTATCCCCGATTGGTATGTAAGCAAAAAATTAACTACCAGTGCGCAGTCGGAAGTTATTCTTTGGAACTTTCCGTGCACCCACAATTGCGGACTTTATCCACGGGTGCTTTCTGCATAATGGCATAGACAACCTTTTCAAAAGGGAACTCGAGGGAAACTAAGATCTAAATATAAATCCCCGTAAATATAAATCCGAAAATATACTGAAATTTTTTCCAAGTCCTCCTTGAGTACTTGAAAGTTAGACTTAGTTTTATTGCTCTATTTTAGTTCACATCAGCTAAAATTATATTTAAAACATCTTCAAATGAGTTATTGTATATGTATGCGATATTAACTCGACCAAAGAGGCTAAATTTAGTATATTGAGTTGATGTGGAAAACGTCAGCCTGATATTCGGAATTCCTTATATCAGGGATGTGAGGTTTAGACCAACCAAATGGCTTAACCATTTTTAAGAAAACTTGTCCATATAATTTCATTTAAATATCACACATCCCACCTAAATAATACGCTCTGAACGACATATTCGTCATAAAACTTATTAGAATAACGAAAATCATTAAAAAATCATAAGTAGTACCAGGTGTTCCTGTATGAAGTGAGCGTTAAGATACAAATGTGTCTGTAGAGAACATTTGTTGTAAAAGAGCCTTATTTTTTCTTCTGTTTTGGTTGGCATGACATCTGTCAAACATATTCAATAACCTTACAGTCATTGATCAAACAACATCATATTTTTTCATTAAGTTGCAAATGTCAAATTTTGTACCGAAAAGTGATAATATGCGGTAAGCATTCATTTTTTGTTTCCATTTGAAGAACAGTGCTGCAGAGCCGCATCGAATGCTTGTCGAGGCATATCTATCAGTAGTAACATGCCAAAGATGGTTTCATCAGTTCAGAGATAGTGATTTTGATGTGAGGAATAAAGTACCTGGAAGACCCCCAAAACAGTTTGAAGACGCCGAATTGCAAGCAATATTGTATGAAGGTCATACTTTGAGACAGAAGGAAATGACAGCCATGTTAAACAATTCAGACCGTTTGAAAGGTATAGGAAAGATTCATAAGTGTGGGAAATGGGTACCACATGAATTGAATGAAACCAAATGGAAAACCGAAAAATCACTTGAGAAAGTTTTGCTTTAAACTACGAACGAAAATCTGTTTTCCATCGTATTATCACCAGAAAGGTGGTAAAAATGTGTAAAAAGCAATGGCCAATACTTCAAATAGTTTTTTTTTTTACTTTTTCATTCAAAATTAATATTTCATTTTCACAAAGCGGTATATGGGAGCGGGGGATAGTATTGACCCGAATTTATCAATTTTGGCCAACACCACAAACTACTAACATGCCAAAGGCTAATAAAATGCTCCCAAGGTTTCATAATGGTACCTCACATACCATCACCACTCATATGGACTAAAGTCAGCCGGATGTTCACAAATCCTGCTATTAGTTATACTATGTTTCGCACACTTTTGCCAAACTAAGGGCTTACTTGATATTCATGACATTTTTGTACTCTTGCAACATGTTGCTACAGAATATAATAGTTTTGTTCACGGTTGTCTGTATCACTTAAAAATAATCGAGATAGATATAGGTACTTATATATATAAATGATCAGCATGAAGAGACTAGTTGAAGTCCGGGTGACTGTCTGTCCGTCCGTCTATCTGTGCACGCTGTAAGTTAAGTAAAAAATTGAGATATCGTAATGAAACTTGGTACAATTGACGAAAAAAGAAGGACGAGCGTAGATTGCGTAATCGGACCACTGCCACGCCCATAAACGAAAACCTATAAAGTGCCATAACTAAGCACTGAATAAAGATATAAAACTGCTTCCACAAAGATCTTGGGTAGCTAATTCTGGCCACCTGGGATTTTTGTACGCGAATTTAAGCCTAAACTTAGAAATCATACTGAGAAAACATTGTTAAATTACCAAAAGCGACCACCGATTTAAAAATTGAATTGGCAAAAACTCGCTAAACATTTATTATCAAAATGTTAGAGGTACTTAAACAGTTCCAATTTTAATTTCCATATAATTGTGCAATATAAACAGCGAGTTTCAAATATTTAGATATGAACGACTGAACAGAATCGGAGGAGGTGTTTTATTTGCCGTATATTCCTCTATTCCATCTGAAGATTTTCTCTTTCCGGGAACTTAAACACGTAAAGCTTTTTAAATCATACACTTCAATAGATAAAAGGTGTCTGCTCCAAACAGACTTAAATAATTTGGTTGCATGGTGTGATAGAAATAATGCCATTGGATCTCAATAAATGTAAGACGATGTGCTGACGATGATTGTTTTCCCGTAGATCTGTACACACCCCTCCTTATGTAATAAAACACCAGAGTCTAGAGCAAGTTTTTAACTATGTCGATTTTGGAGTTAATATGGTCTTAAAAGTTGGTCTAAAAAATAAATAATTAGAGATCCATGTATTACTAAAACACTTTTTATAACTTTGTTTAGACCTATATTGGAATATGGCCCTGTTGTATGGAACCCTAGTTTCCAAATCGATTTTGACAAGTTAGAGTCTATTCAAAAACAATTTTTACTTTTCGCCTTAGGACATTTCTGATGGGATTTTAGGGTTAAGTCTACCTTCATACACTAGTCGTTTAAAACTTATAAATCTACCTATACTGTCTAGTCGTAGGGAAATGCTTGGCATAGTATTCTTAGTGAAAATCGTGAATGGAACAGTTTGCAGTTCTTTTCTCCTGTCTGAAATTAAATTTTATATCCCGGTTCGCTTTTCGAGGCAAATTTCGAACTAAACGAACAATTCCGCCGTATATGTCTTGATTTTAATTCTCATTCCAGCACATTTGACTTATCAGACTCATTTTTCAAACTTAAAAAGACTTTACTGCTTTACATACATCCATATATGTATAACGGTTCTGTTAAAATCTACTTAAAGCGCAGTAAATCAATAAATAAATGCCTCAGAAACAATAAATTTTAAATCTGAGATGGTATGAGAGGGCTTTTTAGGAGTCGCTGTCAAAATTTTACGATTATTCTGACATTCCTACGTCGCAGTGCGAAAACTTGCGAAATCCATCTACAACCACGCCTACTTCTCATATAACACATAAATTCTATCTGATTCTTTTACTTTCCGGTATTCAAAATAGCAATTAATATAACGTGATAAGACTTTGCACGAATAGTGCCTTTGAAGTGTGCCAGTTTATAACCAAAAAGTAGTAAAATCGGACCAAAATGGTTGAAGCCCCAAGGTACCGAATACATGGACACCTATTCCTATTGCGAACGTTTTATCGAAAATATCGCTGAATCTGTAAGGTATACTATAGAAATTCAGAGAGAATCCTTATCTGATAATAATACACCCGTGTGGCAAAAATGGTTTGAATCTGATCAATATCTGCTTTAGCCC